AAGCACAACAAAGAAACAAAGAAATGCTTCAGTTTTCCTGCCTTTCCTTTTTTTCCTTGCTGCATGCATGTGGTACATGAGAGAGAGAGAGAGAGAGAGAGAGAGAGAGAGAGAGAGAGAGAGAGAGAGAGAGAGAGAGAGAGAGAGAGAGAGAGAGAGAGAGAGAGAGAGAGAGAGATGGAGAGGGGGGCTCACAGAGGAGACATGATATGGAGTAGCTTGATTGGAACTCCTTTGAATTATACGTGGAGGAGATGAAAGCGATGGAGTCCTTCTTTTGATGTAGAACAAGTAAAACAACAGAAAAAGAATAATGGAGAAGAGGATAGGAATTGAGAATATGAAAGCCTGATAGAGTTTAAGTTGAAGCTCTTGAGGATAAAGATGAGAAGGGGTTGGGGATTGAGGGAGGCCCATCAGTCTCCGAGATTCAAAAATGACTGGATGTAGAAAGTAATGACGAGTTCAGTTGAAGTTTCATGGTAGAGTTGCAAATGCCTAGTTGAATGTATTTATGGAGGGGGGTACTCGAGGGAGGAAGAGAGGTGGAGGCAGTTAATCGAAAGGGGAAAAGGATACATTAATAAGGCAACCTTTGTTAATAAAAGAGAAGCCAGCAAATTAGAGCTTTTAAGATCAAATTTGCATGATGACAGTATATATTCTCACTTTTTCAATGATGGGACAAGCCCATGTCTGTCCACTAAGACATGGGTCCTCTCACGAAGCACTACTGAAGACCGGTTTGTCTTCATTCTTCAAGCATGGACCTAGAACACTATCATGAGCTCTAAGATGCCTAGACTATAAGAATGCTGGACTGACAAAGAGAAGGTGAAAATGATTGGTTTGGTAATTTGGAAAAATAGGGCATTTGGTTAGCTAATGCACCTTCTAACCACCCCACATCCCATTGTACCTGTGCGTGTTTTTTGTTTTTTGTTTTTTTTTCCTTGCATAGAGAGATTGAGAAGACCCCACTTGCAAAAGATGACTTGAGCAGGTGGTGGTTTCTGGCAAATCTTGCTTGAACAAGATTTCTAGGAGGGTGTTTCCTAGGATGCAAGGCAGAGCCTGATTCATGGGTAGCAGGTCACCGGTCCAACAACCTTCAGATGGAAAAACATAATGGGGTTTGCGAGGTGGGTTTAACTCAACTTCAAATAATGGACACATTCCTACCGTACAGATTAATGCAAGACACCACTAGCCCGCTAGTATGATTAGGGCTGTATGCCTCCCACTAGACATGAACATCTCTTATTGTTAGATGTTAACCTAATCTTGCAATTGTTTTTTTAATTGTCAAGACATCATGAAAACTCTCTGAAAAAAATAAATTTGTTTTAACTTGTAGCTTTTGTTCTTCAATTTGGAGTTCAATTTTTGAGAAGTTGGAATTTTGTTGTTTTATGCAATCAATGTTCAGGCAAGGAATTGGAGGGAGACCCACCCCAGAGTGGTTCTTAGGGCCAAAGCTTTTGGTCTATGCTACAAAAACATGGAAGAACCATTTTCTTGGTAACAAAAGAAGGGATTCCATAAAAAAAAAAAGGAAAAAAAAAGGTGATGTTTGTGCCCCATAGTTTTATAATTACATAAACACCAGAGTTTAGCAATAAATAATCATGACAGCATTAACAAAAACTCTAAACTGCTAGTAGAAATCACTGCACACATGTATTATTATTCACTTCAACGGTAAACTTACGATTTTTTCTCTTGTAAAAAAAAAAAAAGCCTTGTGATCTTTTTCAATAGCAAATTAGTTAATACTTTCTTTCAAAAAAAAATAATAAAAAAAAATGTTTGATAGTAATTTACAAGATAAAGTTATTGTCTTCATATTTTATTTGGTTATGGTGAATAAAATATATAAAAAAATTATTTTACTCTTAATATGTATTATTATCAAATTTACATATTTAAAAAAATTATTAGATATATTTTTTTATTTTAGTTTATATTAAGTGTTGAGATTAATAATATTATAATAATCTTAGTTATAAAATCATGATTGACTTGACGTGTTCATCTAGGATTTAACAGGTTGAGTTAAAAAATATAGAGAAAGGATTGATCCTCCCTAATCTAGTTAAAACTTAGGTCAGCTAGGAATAAAACAGAGTAAAAAACTTGTTGACCTTTTTAAAACAAAATTTTATTCAAGGTTGCTTTATTTTTTTTTAAATTAGGTTAGCAAGGTCCCCCATCATTGACCTAAACTTTGCCTTGAATTAACTCTTAAATTGAGTTTTCAAATTATGATAATAAATACTTTAATTAAAATATATTTTTTGTCTTTATTGTCCCCATCTCTTTTGTCTTATGACAATAACTAAATACTACCTAAAGTTTAGGATTGTTGAGTGGTATATACATCTTTTCACCTTTTTGGAATAGTAAAATGATTAATTTGCCCTTCAAGTCAAGAAAATCTAGATATGTTAATCAAGAGTATTTATATTTTTTCATTTTAAAAAACAGTTAAAAGACTTTTTTTCACTTTGAATCAGAAAAAAAAATTCTTGGTCGAAGAACATCTTTATTTTTTCACAAAGGTGTCTTCGTTAATTCTAATTCTATATTCTTTGAAGGCATATTAATCTTCCACATTGATTCGTTAATTTTTAAATCCAAAAAGTTGTAAAAGCCTGTGTTGTCCACAAGAAAGTGTATGGGTAGTGCGTGTATTGGCACCGGTTGCCAAAATTGTCCTTTCACCGTATTGTTAGAAGCATTGTCCCGTTCTCTTTCTGTTAGTGTGATGCGTGTTAGCAGTAGATGGAAAGTTTGTTGCCGACAACCATTTCTTTTTTATATTTTCTCTCTCCTTTTCTAAAAAGTACACATTGATCTTCTTTATTTTTTACGCTTCAATTTTAATCCTTAATCATTTGATTTTTATTTTTTTCTCTTGACCCTTTTATAAAATTTATGTTTGTTTTCAATTTGGTCTTTCATTACAATTTGTCATATATTATTTTTTTTAATTTGGTTTTTATTCTTTTTATCTCTAATTTTTTTCTTGGCCCATTTGTTAAAGTGTTATTGATTTTCAATTTCATCATTTGATTAAAGTTTATGATGTATTATTTTTTCAATTAGTCCTCATTTTTTCAATTTTTTTTCTTGTTGAAGTTATTTTTCTTTTTAATTACCCTTCATTCAAAAAAAATGGTTGACCTCTCATTTATTTTTTATTTGGATTTTCACCCTTTTTATTTTAATCACAATTTTTGTATTTTAGATCATTTTGTGTAATTTTTTATTTTTTTCTAGTTTTTATCTTTCAAAGTTTGATTTATTAGGAATCGAATTTCATGAGTTTTCTATTCATGTTGTTTCTGATCTAATGACTTGTGTCACAAGTTTGAAAAATTAAAACGGGTCGACATCTTTTTTGTAACTTATTTTCTTTTCTAATTTCATCACTAAACATTATTATTTTTTGGTATCTTTTATAATATGTCTTTTTTAATATTTTCTATTTGTGTTTCAATTAATATCTCTCCCTTATGATTTTTTATTTTTCTTATTTAGCCATTTTTAAATATATTGTTTTTAAAATATTTTGTATGTATTTAATTTTTTAACATATGACTATGCTTGATCTATATTTTTTTAATATTTTATATAGATAGAATTTATTTTTAAAAATAAAAATATTTATTCTTAAATAATGTTTATAATGTGTGTAGCTTTGTATAATATTTTTTTTTCTTTTATTGTATTCAATTATTTTTATGTATGTGTCTATTTCTATTATTATTTGATATAAAAAATTATTTTAATAAAAAAGTTTAGTAAATACAAGCAAGTATATATCCCATGTTGCAAGATCAAAATCTTGATATAAGTTTGTCTCTCAATTTTTTTAGATATGCTTTTAGTTATCATTAATGATTTTTTTATCTATTTATTTACACAAATAATTACCAATTTATTTAATTAGATCATTTTATAAGTTTTTTGATTAACACTTAAAAATATTATATAGAAAAATAAATAAATAAAACCTACATATCTATTTTTTTTGGATAAAAATATATCAACTTGTGGCGAAACACAGGCCATCAACTACTTTCATCGTAGCATTTTCAATTTGAACAAAAACCAATTGAAGAATGGTAATGTCCTATATCATTTGCCAAATACTTTGAATAATTAGGTCCAATATTGGTTTTAAATATCCTGTATGGCCCCAATTAGATATGATCTTATCAATCAATATTGTTTTAATATCTAATTAATTGCTTAAACTTCAATGAAACATTGCTATCTAAGGGCTCCAAGTTGATCAAAATTCATGATCCATTTTCAAGAAGTAAAAAATCTGTTGCTTTAATGTTAATTCCAAATGGCTAAATATAAATAGATATCTTGGTTTAGATGACTTGAAACTGGAAATTAACCTTCCTTACAACACACACACGCATACGTTGTATTTCACATCTATTTTATGATCCTTTCCAGGATGCAGCTCAATGTGGGCGTGCATGCTCTTAACTTTATTTGAGAAGATCTCACTGTTGCTAGTGGATCATGAAGACAGCCATCTCACACACAAAGTGGGTATCATATAAGATCTCTACTTATAAAAATATTTCTGATCGTACAATTTGACGCCTTTGTCACAATTATTACTAGTAACCCCCCCCTTATATTTTAAAAATATTTCTGATCGTACAATTTGACGTCTTTGTCACAATACGAGAGGAAAAGTGACCCCGGAAATTACCAGGTAGGTGACGACCGGAATCCTGTCTGAGCACTATTTGCTTTTGTTAGTTACTGGTGTGTGATTGGGAGAGTCCGAACAAGAGAACTTTTGTGCTTCATCTGCTACTGAATGGAAGTAGTTTTACATTAGTGCTCTCGGAGACAGGATCACTGATGGCGATGCTTATATATCTTGTTAATACTCAATTTCCAGACGGGAATGGAGACTGCAATCCAGAACAGTCACTGGAAATTTCTTTCTACAATCAAATCAAGAGTTTTTTTAACCGTCTTGAATGTAAAAGGAAGACAACGAGAGGCCGTTTCATAATATCTACCAATAATATGAGTTAATTTTTTAATGTATCTCAACATCAAAACTAATTATTAAAATAGTGAGAACCCCTAAAGAAACAATAAAAAGATAAAAATTAATTAAATAGTGAGAACCCCTAAAGAAACAATAATAAAAAGATAAAATTTAATCTCAAATTAACTTAATATAAAAAGATTAGATTGAAGAAAAAATAGTTACGTGAAAAAAAATAAAAAAAACAAGAAAAAAAAATTGCAGGTAGTTATTGCAACCTTAATTTGGTGGGATGTATCCTCCTTCTATGTTGTTTTTTATTAAATAAAAAAGAATATAAAAATTTAAAGGTGAAGTAAAAAAATATAAATGAAAAAAAATATTTGACTGAATATGATATAATATAAAAATAAGTATAACCCAACTCACATTCATCGATTTTATTCTTATTACAAATAAATCTTTTCCTCCCTTCAACTAGGGATTAAGTGTATGTAAAATATTTTAAACGAAATTGCCATGTATTTAAATTATCCTTATTTCAAGATTCTTATCCTATTACACTATCACAATTTAAGAATAAATTTCCTTTGCCATCTTATTTTTATTTCGCATGGACCTTGGTATGCTCTGATAATTGTAATGGTATATTATTTGATAATAAAATTAGCCATCATTTTATTTAAATGAACCTCATAAATATCAATAATAAAAAAAAAATAATGATATTAGACTATATTATGCTAACCACACTACTTTTCTTTTTATGAGGTGTTTGGTTGTGTGATTACTTGATTTAAAAAAAAATTAATTTTTTTAATTTTATATAATATGTTGATATTAAAAATAAATTAAAAAATTATTTTAATTCATTTCTAAATAAAAAAAATCTTTATCACTGTTCAAAACACTCGTACATCTAATGCATTGAAATTAATTCTTTTTTATAATTGTAATTGTAATGCATTGAAATTGTTACTGTAATCACTTCGACATATGCGTCTTTGCTGACTTATGGTAATTAATTGTGGCCCAGCCAAGCCCAGCCCATACTGATCTGGGCTAGACTCAATCTGGTCAAGATATCACCCGAACAAAAACTCCTTTTAAACCCTTATAAAACAAAACAAAAAAATCTTTTCTTTCTGTAGAAGCTAGAAGACTCGAGCTTTAAAAATAAATCCAGATAGAGGTAGAGAGAACGAGAGAGAGATGGATCCAAAGCTAACAGAAGTATCCCAGCTATTCGAGCGATTCAAAGCGGCGTGCACAAGAGAAGATTTCAATACTTCGACGAATCTGCTCTCTCAGCTCAAGGTAACAATTAATCTTCACACCTCAAAACCCCAATTTTTACTCATTTTCTACTTAATTCATTTCTTTTTTGTTTTTATTTTTTAGTGATTTTATCTCAGTTGAATTGACTAGTAGTTAGCTTTAATTGCAATTAATTTTGATTTTTTTTGCTGCAGGTCTTGTTGACAGGATTTCGAAGCTTGCCGCCGTTGTTTGAAAACACACCTAATGCTGTTCAAGAATTGACAATAGCAAGTAAGATTGTGGTTTTTTTTTCCTTTATTTGTTGAGGATCTCAGGGTTGTAATGCAGGATTTAGGGTTTAATAATCTTTGATTTTAGGTTATGAGATTGTGTTTTAGACGCGTGGTTTGTATACATTTATTTATATTTATTAAGTGGGGGGTGCTTTTTCAGGGGATGTATTTGAGCATGCTGTTCTTTTGAGTGTGACGATTGGGGATCAGGAGGCCTTTGAAAGGGATTTCTTTCAGTTGAAGCCTTATTATACCGATGCCGGGTAATTTTTTCATTGTTTTCAGTTTTCAAGGAATCAGGCGTGCATGCTTAGTTATGTATTTGGGTAGTGTTTTTATTATAAATTGCCTGACATAAACTGCATGCTTCGTTAATTATGTTTCCATAGTTTGGGAGAATGGTGACTTGAATTCCCTACTGAGTCTGATGAGACATTCAGCACCTCATAGTTTCAACAACTTTATTAGTTTGTTTGACTGTAGGCAATGTGGAGTATTGTTACATGTAGGGTATCAGAAATAGATATCCTTACTGTGATAGGATAATTAACTCTATTCTTAATATGTCAGTTTGTACAACCTAGTGCAAACCAAGGAATGGAACTATGTTGCACAAGGCTCATAACAAATAAGCTATCTTACACAGCTTGTTTGATGTTTTGAGTTTTGTTTCAAAGGCTTCATTTTAGCTGTGAACTCGATTTACTTCCCTTTTGTACAACTCTCTCATTTCAGAGTAGAAAATATTATATGGTTTGTTTTTTAGTTGTGCATTTGGTTCTTTAAGCTTTTGGATTTTTATTAACTGATCTGTCAGGTTTTTATGTATTAGACAATACTAAGGTCTTAACTAAAGAAATCATAGAAGAGAAGAACATGTGTAGCCTTGACAAGGAAGAATTTGCTGTTATCTCTTCTTTATTTTCCAATGTTGAGTGGTATAATGTTAGAGCTTGATTCTTATGATTTTTTTTTGATGGAGCAGTAGCTTTCTTCCCCAATCTCCTCAGGAGTATATGATATTGGGTCTCAACCTCTTGAGACTCTTAGTCCAAAATAGAATTGCTGAATTCCATACTGAATTGGAATTGCTCTCCCCTACTGCTTTGGAGAATCCTTGCATCAAGCATGCTGTGGAGTTGGAGCAGTCCTTTATGGAAGGGGCTTACAATCGCGTGTTATCTGCAAAACAGAATGTGCCATACAAGACATATGATTATTTTATGGATCTTTTGGCAAAGACTGTGAGGTAATTTCTCCATACTCTGTTGCAATAGCGAGTGGCCATTGATTAGTCAATGAGAACTCATCCGTGTAGACTATATTTGTTTATGGGTACACCACCTCACACTAAATAAAAGGGTAAGATAGATAGAATTGTTCTTTCAGAGGGCGTACAGACATCAATGTTTAGGTGAAAATGGTCAGTTCCTGCAACCTACTAGACCAGAATTGGGCTCAATTAATGTCCTTTCAGGTGTTGTCAAGTTCATTGTTTTCCAGGTGCATGTGTTCCATCTTTGTTCTAAATGACAGCCATAGTTTCTTGTGAAAACTTGTTTGTTTGCCTGAAATTTTAATTATTATTTCTATTTGTTATGCCTCTTTAAAAGTGACATCTTAATCGATTGATGTAGTTTTTTTTTTTTTTTCTTAACAAGAAGCTCCATTCCCATAAAGTTTTTGCCATAGTCCTTTTTTTTTCAATTTGATTTATCTAATAGTTTTGTGGTTTGATGGAGCATGTAAACCATCTTTTGCAAGTTTCCATGCTTTAGTTTTGCACTGGGGCTCATTGTGTTTTTTAGGTCGCACATAGTTCAAGTTTGAAAACAGGGATTTTTTTGTTCATTTTAACCACACTGTGCAGACTGAAAACTAATCTTGCAACTATACTTTGAAAGTCAGTCTTTAGAATTCCGGGTTAGAAGCTGCAGCTCACCCTATCATCCTTCATGAATGGATTTAGCTCGCAGCATTATCCTTCTATGTTCTTATTAGTTGATTTCCACCGTATCACCTCCAGGGATGAAATTGCTGGATGCAGTGAGAAGGCATATGACTATCTTTCAATAAGTGATGCCCGTCAAATGTTGCTCTTTCCTTCCGAAAATGAACTTTTGGAGTACATCAAGGAGGTACTGGTGTCTTCTGCACTGATATATATTTTTTTTTAACACTCAAGCTTTTGGATTTGAATGATTTAATTTTTTAGATTGATTAAAAAGTATACGAACTTAGATAAGAAATTCCTTTAGCACTGCTTCAGAGCTTGTAACTGGCCCTCTGTTTTAGCTCACCAAGTGATGCTACAAGATTCTGCAGTTAAGAAACAGTTTGTTGGGGAGGTGGCTGCTTCAGTTTATTTGACAAACCGGATTAAGGTGTTCATATTGTTTTCCAACTCCTTTGGTGGGGTGTAGACCAAGAGCGGACTTCTTCTGGGAATTGTATTTCTCCTTTTTCAGATTTACTTTCATGATTAACATAAATGTGACATGTTCTGTTGCTTAATGCAGGAGCATCCCGAGTGGGAGATAAAGAATGGCTCTGTAGTTTTCCAGAAGGCAAAAGAATCTGCCCCCTGCAAGGAAATACCATCTCTACAACTCATCAACCAGACATTGAGTTATGCTAGAGAGTTGGAGCGGATTGTGTAAACAGATTATAACCGTCTTCGGAGACAAAACTTCAGTTCTTCAACCTGGAACCATTTCATTTGAGGGTATAACTTTCATTTGCCATCTTTTGTAGTTCAATTGGGTCACTCCAGCGGTCTACAGATCAACATTTCTTGCACGCTTGATTTGTAATGGCCCAGTATATTTTACTTTTAATTTCACAATTCGACATCCTTTTGTTTCATGCTGCTATCGAAATTTACCTTTACACCCTCCTTCCCTACTTCTGGGCTACGGAAGAGCTAGGCAAAGGGGCAGGGATGTCGTGATTTCGATGCCATAAGTGACTAATCCATATGCCCCGACTAGGGTAATTCTCCCTTGAACTTGTGCGCACGGCAACCAGGCGCCTGGTAGTAAAGGAAAAAACATACTGTTATAGCTTATTACGGTGTGTGAGCTCTGATGTGCTAGTGGGCCGTTTTTCTTTTTAGACAAGTCATAAATTGGATGAGGCTGTGCTCGAATTTGAGATCTCATTTCTCTTGGTCGTATATAATAAAATCACGCTTGAACGTGTCTGTGTGGGCGTTAGTGGTTGAACTTAATTTTGGCTAATTAAACGTTTTGATGGAACTCTGAAATCTAAACCAGGAGCTTTGTCTTCCAGCAAGTGCATGCTGGCCGTTAAACCAAGCAACAAGCCAAAAACCTCAACAGTGATCGAATAATAGCCGTTGAAATGTGACGATCAGTCACGAAAAAAGGCAGAGCCATGTCAGTCCAAACTTGAGACAACGAGTCCTCAACTACTACGCCCTAAATGGGTGACTAGCCAATGTCTTAATAACCCTTGCCGGCCTTTGTTAAATGGGTTGACTCCATGTATTATCATTTCAGGGCAAATCTGAGGTTGCAGAAAAGGTTGGTTCTTTTTTTTTAAAAAAAAAAAATTAGAAATGTATTCATGTAGGTAGAGACGAATGATGTTTCTATGACTCAACAAGAGAGGAATTTCTTGAAATTTGACATGAGAACATGTATTCATAGAAGGAAAAAGAAATTTAGTTAAACTGATTGAAAGATTACTCCTCCACTCACCAAAGAATGCAACACCTTACCTATGATTACTATTAACGAATCTGTTAGTTGAGCTAATTCCACAATTTAAACAAAATCCTGCAACAAAGAGTTGAAATATTATGACCCATTAACGAAACTGATAGCTACTCAAGAAATACTGCAGCTGCCTCAGGGAAAAGGAAATCACAGATTTTATAACTGTTGCTGTGTTTGTCCAAGTGGGAATTACAGGGTTTCTTGCTAAATCTCCTGCCTGTCGGTGCACATGTTAATTTTCCTTTGCCGATACTGTCGAAGTCATGGCACAATACTCACCTAGCCTCCTAGGGGCCCATTTAGAATAAAATATTGGTGTTATTTCTCTAGTTAGTTGATTGCCAAAAACAAAAAAAGAGGATAGAGAAGGACGGCCATGGAGAGAAGAAAGACTCCCTGAAAACCTGTACAAGACATGTACAGAGAAGTGCCATGTTAATTCCTCACTAAACGTTATTGGTGAGTTTGTTACCTATCACTGATTTTTATTTTTATGGTTGAGATTCATTGATCAGTCTCAAAAGGGTTGTTTCTGAGTCCTAACTTTACGCCTAACAAGATGTTTGATAATACTGTTTTCTAAATATTTTTTATTTGAAATATATCGAAATATTATTTATTTATTTTTTAAATTTATTTTTAATGTCAACATAATAAAAAAAATTTAAAAATTAATTTAAAATAACCAAAAAAGACTTTAAATTTTAACCAAAACAATAGCTTCAATTGCAATTTCAAACAGGCACCCAGTGACATGACCATTTGCATGCTCTACACCAACACCATTTACGTTTATAATTTCCTTTTGATAAGGTGCCAGTGACCTACTGGCTTGTGAGAAAAAAATTCATAACCAAACCGGAGGAATCTTATTAAGAAAGAAATTTAATTTTGATGTATGAATTATGATAGTGACCAGTGGAAGGACGGGGTTGTTATAGAGATGCAGCAGCCACCACTTGTTTTTCACTTCATATTGATGTTCGTCCTAAATTTGAAAACACTGAAACAACCAAATGGTTGACATGAGGCTAGTTCCTGCGAAAAAAACCTAAGCTAACAGCAGATTAAATATGTCACTTTCTCTTTGCAATAACAATCGTTCCCTCTTTTTTCTCTCACGACATAAATATTTGATATTTTTCTAAAACAATAATCTCACTATCATCTTTTGTTTTTTGTTGAAAGTAAGTCAAGACACTTTATATATTGTGATGCCCTTTGCTTCGTTTTTGTTGTTTTTCAGTGCCCGCGTATACATCAGAAATAGTGAGTGGATTCGGGATTGAATTTCCAGTTCCAGATTAATTAACAACGAGGAAGACCAGGTTACCTCGCTGTCTCATTCTCTTTATGGTTTATGTTTTCTGTAATCCCTACAGTCCTCTTTTCTGTTATTTTCCAATAATTTTTTTGAAAAAACCCGATGTTTGAAGCTGTTTTTTTTTTCTGTTCTTTCTTTCTGATAGAGAACATAAAGAACTTCAACTTACCTATCTGATTATACCTGCTAAGTACTGGTGTTGTTAGGAACAGTAGAATTCAGTGAATGTCTCCTTGTTTTAAAGATGACAGGGATCAATATCTAACTGACAATATCAATATGGAGATTTTTGGATTCTCTGACACGGGTTCAGTTCTTTGTCATGTGTTTTATCTCAAGTTTTCTGATTTTAGAATCTCTTTAGTCCACTTTCTGTTCTCTGATAATTGGTTTGCAAGCTCAAACAGGAAAGAAGTGGTAGAAAACAAAGTTTTGAAGCTTTCAGTCAGATTTCTTTAGTTTCAGAATCATAGTCCTCAACTCAACTAAGCTATGTTCATCAGTTGGTGAAGAATTTTGTTTGCACAGATTCCAGGAGATCATTTAATCTCAGACTCTGAATTGTTAGTTTCTCCATTTGAGTGCCAGATAATCATTAGCTGGAAATGTTTTTTGTGACTTAATTTCTATCTTTGTAACTATATGTGCACTACACTCTTGTTTAAGAGTCGAGGGCAGGTAGTGCTATGGTGGTGGTATTTTTGTGAAATAATTAGAGGTAGGTATGTCTTAACTGTTGATGTGGTTTTTGATTAATTTGGCAGCTAAAAAGAGCCAGGTTTCATTGTCATGGATAATAGCAAGACCTCATCTTCTTCAGTAAATGGTCCTCAAGAACCTTCTAATCATGATGAACTTTTCATGCAGCAGAGCTTGCTCTTTTCTGATACTCTCAAGGTACACTCAATCTTATAAAATCCTCTCATTAGTGGAGCCAGGTTGCAGATCATGATTATGTTTCTTTAGCTACAGAAAACTCCCACGGTTACTAGAAATTCAGAGATTATTGTAAAAGTAAATTATCTTAATTTTGATAATGAAGTTGTTTTCTTTGATTAGGACTTGAAGAACCTTAGGAAGCAGCTATACTCAGCAGCCGATTATTTTGAATTAGCTTACTACAAAGAGGACCAAAAACAAATGTGAGTCAGTTTTACAATCCCTTTTGTAAATGCCATGATTGTGACATGGTATGCTAATTACCCCCGGCCACCGGCTTTGTCTTAACGCAGAGTGGTTGAGACCTTGAAAGATTATGCCATCAAAGCTTTGGTCAGTACTGTTGACCACTTGGGTTCTGTCGCATACAAAGTTAACAAATTTTTAGATCAAGAGATTGGTGAGGTTTCAGAAATGGAGCTTCGTTTCTTTTGCACCGAACAGGTATCCTCCCTTCCGCCTTTCCCTTAGCCCTTCACCATACGTTCTTGAATACAAGATTCATTTTCAGGTTTTTTTGGGACGGTGCTGAAACATTATCCCAACATGCTCGTGAAATCATTTATTATGAAATTATTTTGCCTTTCCGGGACAATTCACTTGTCTACACAGGAATTTTAATCATGTCAGACTGTCTAAGACTTCAATACCTGACCTTCTTCTGTGGCATGCCCCAGAGACTGGAAGCATGCCAAGAATATATCAACCAAGGTGGCCTTTCACAACAGTCATTGGCAATAAAAACTCCGACGCATCACAAGCGGTACATTTTTCCAGGCAAATATTTTACCTCTCCTATTTTCCTTCTGCATTTTTTTCTCTACATTTCCAATATTTCAAGATGTTTGTGACACTGAAATTTGCTGTTCAGTTGATGAGGAGAACATGGATGCACATAGCCATACTAATTCAAATTATCACAGTAGAAGCTTTAGTACTGAACACAACTTGCTTGATTTAAAAAATGGTATGCTACTTCCTCTCCTGATGTGCTTGAAATAAATCAGTCAAACACCAGATATTTATGATCCAGAAAACCTCTTTCAAACTCATTATTTCTTTATGTGATTGTTGTGCCAAGCTGTTCAAGCAACAATCAAAGGAGCTCCTTCTTCCTTGAGGTAATCTTGATGATATATTTGTTATTACTATGATCATCTACCCATCCCAGTTTCGCCACGACATAGGCTTTCAAGGTATAATTTTAATGCAGGGAAAGGCATTCTAAATCACAGTCTCCACAATTCTACTCAAGACAAGGAGCATTTACGATCACAAGGACTTCAACCAGCAACAAACCTGGTTTGTGCGCATGAATTTTTTTTCTTATTATTTTTATCTAGACAAAGTTGCAGTACACACAGCAGAGACAGCTCAGGAGAGTATGACCTTTTCTCATGATTTCTCTTCTCTCCGTTTTAGTCAGAAAGAAGATCATCCTCTCCGCAACACTTTCCGCTCATACGTTCTGGATCTCTTCTCAAGAGACCAGTATCTTCAAATAATACTAATGCACGACGAAGGGTAAGCGCAACCATTACAAAGAATATGGAATGACTAATGAGATTGGGCTGTCAAAAAAAATAAAATCATACACAACGAATAGTCATGACTTGAAATTAACTTGTTAAAATGTTGCTGCTTAAACCTGAATTCTGGAACTGAAATAAACATAGTTCTTTCACTAATAATTTCATTTATTTCAGTATCCATCTGAGCCTCGGAGATCAGTTTCGTTGTCCATGTATTCGGAAAGAGACAAGACACAAGATAGTGATCAACAATATTCTGGCAAGAGCAAAGGCCTGTTTAAGGCCTTGCTCCGCATGCGCAAGTCTAGAAAGGAAGTCTCCCTGTATAAATATTTGGATGAGATTTGAAACAGAAAAACAAATGGAGATCATGCATGATAGGAAACAACAGACAGACTATCTGTAGTTTCTGGTTCATAATTTGTACCCTCTGTGTGTGTGTGTTTTAAGATCCAGTTTCTTCAGGTAGGAGATTTCAATATATCCCCTCTTATTCATAATTTAGATGCTATTATCTGATTAATAATCATCACCAACAGAATGAGTATAACTTTGTCTTCTTTTTTTTTCTTTTTTGGTTGGGATAAATAACCTATGAGAGCCGAATTAGATCATTTACCCGCGGCGGGAAGAATCATTTTTTAAAAAAAACAATATATAAGGGTATTGTTAATGTATTCTCAACGAGAAAAAGAATTTAATCTGTGGAGGGACTCATTCAATATAATATAACTGATTTGATAAATTTAAAAATAATATAAATATTTAAAAATAAAAAGTGATAAAATAAAAAATTCAAGTTGATATTTTTTATATTAATAAAATAACATAATGGATCAGCTTAGATTGACATATAAATTTTACAATTCAGGTAATGAACTTAGATTGACATATAAATTTTACAATTCAAGTAATGAAATCTTGATAATTTTATAGAAAATAAATAAAAAAAATATATTGTAGTTGATAATTTTATAAAAAGTAAATAAAAAATATATATTGTAGTATAATTTTTAATTAACTCAATATTAAAAAATAAAATTAAAAAAATCCTTAATCAATACCAATTAAAATGTTAAATCCAAATCATGAGATTACCATAACTCGATAAAAAATAGATCATAAAAATTTATGAAATTCAATTCTTAATCAATCTAATATTAAAAGAAAAAATTAAACAAAAAACCATGAGTTAATCTAGATTAACTCATGGTAGATTAACTCATGGTTTTTTCTTTAATTTTATCTTTTAATATTATATTGATTAACTCGCCAAACTTTTGAATTTTTTCTTTTAATATTAGATTGATTAACTCGTCACACTTTTATTAAGTTTAATTCTTAATCAATCCAAATGTTGATGAAACTAAAAAAAAATTAATTAAAAAAAAATCCAAAAAAATCTTGAATTGACTAGATTAATTCATAAAATTCATGATAAAGATTATGAGATTGAAAATTTTTTATAAAAAATAAATTAAAATAAATTGTGTAACTCAATTTCTAATAATTTAATATTAAAAGTTAAAATTAAAAAATAATAATTTAAATTCAAAAAAATATCGTTCCATTTAGTAGTACTGATTCCTTCTCATATTCGACTAGCTATTGTTAATAATAATAATAATAATAATAATAAAAAAGCTATCATCTTGCTTTCTTTCTTTCTTTCTTTCCTGCCCGTAAAGAAAACAAAATCATAATAAAATATGATGTTTCTTTACATTAACAAGAATTAACTGGCGGACAGAAAATTATACTTACCCTCCTCGTAAGGTAGTGTTATGATGAGCAATTTTTTTTTTTTTTTTTTTACGGTGGTCATTAAATTGATCCTTTTATAAAAAATAAATATGATTCAAATATTTAAAAGAATTACTAAAAAATTAATTATTTCTTTTACTTATATAAATAAAGATATAACTTATATGAAAATATAAGTTTTTATTATTAAAAAGATATAATTTTTTCTTTTCTTTTCATATCTTGACTCTTTGCATTAATTTAACAAGATCTATAAAAATATTCATATTGTAAAATATTATTTTGATTTTAGTAATTAAAATAGCAGTGAAATAATTGATCCAAGAATAAAAAAAATGAATTATCGCAAATAAGTTTTCCTTTCCAATCTATAATTTATAGTTTTTTTTTTTCAAATTTCAAATTGAGTTTTTTCTTTTAACTTTTAATATTAGATTTATTAAATATTAAATTTTATAATTTATATTTAAAATTTATTTTTTTATCTTTTAACATTGGATTTATCAATTATTGAACTTCTTAATTTATTTTGATTTGTTTTTTATAGGATTATTTTAGTCTCATGATCCAAAAAGATTGTTTTTGTGGGTTACCCCACTTGACTTATGTTTTTTAGGGTTCTTATTGTACTTTTTTTTTTAATTTCATCTATTAACATTGGGTTAATTAGAAGTTAAATTTCAATATTTATTTCGGTTTGCTTTCTATAAAGTTATCCTAAACTCATCGTTCAAGCCATGAGTTTGGTGGATTAATCTAAATTGACTTAAGTTTTTTTTGTGTCCTTTTTTTAATTGATTTTCTTTTCAATTTTATCATTCAACATTGAATTGATTAGTAATCGAGCATTTATTATGATATATTTTCTATTAAGTTATCTTAGTCTCATAACTCAAGTTTGACAGTTAACCCGGGTTGACTTGATATGTTTTTTTATTTTTTATTTCATTGATTTTTTTTCAATTTAAACTTTTAATATTGTGTTGATTAAGAATTAAACTTTAAAATGTTTTTTTAATTTGCTTACTATAAGGTTATCACAATATCATAATCTAAGTCATGGATTTTACATGTTAATTTAGGTTATTTCAAGTCGATTCAATATGTTATTATTTCAAAATTAAAAAAGAAAAGATGTCATCTTAAATTTTTTTAGTAAAATTATATTTTTTTTCCGGTTGTCCGTGTTATTTTAGACTTGTCAAGTTAATTAAGTCACATCAGTTTAATCTCTATACAATTTAATTCTTAAAAAAATAAATTACTAATGCTTGAATATTTTTTTAATATTTAAAAAATTTGATCGGATTCATGACATGCTTGAATATTTTTTTAATATTTAAAAATTTTGATCGGACCCATAAGTTAAAAAAGAAAATTTCTTGGAAAGCTTGTTAGCTACAAATTAATTCGAGGAAATCTTTTCCGAGAATGGTTGATTAAACGAGTTTCATTGAAAGGTGTCTTTCCTAAAGAGAAAGTTTCATTTTTCTTTCATTTATTTCTTAAATTTCTATTGCATCCACTAGTTAATTTCATACAATAATATGCCCATAAGATAAACCATCCTAACTCATAATATCCTACCCTTCCATAACATATATACACTTAAATTTCTTCAATTTAAATAAAAAATAAAATAAAATCATAGGAAGGATACTCAACTCTCTCTTTTTTTCACCTTTTTTAAAAGGAGACTAAAAAAATTTTGCTAAAAAACGCTTAACCCTTGTCTCTTCCAGATCTCACTCTCCCTAATTTCTTCTCTTCTTTCCAAGAATCAAAACTGTCAAGAAAACTTGAATTCTTATCTTTGATCCTTTAATAATTTATTAAATCTACCTCTCTTTAGTGATTTCCCTCAGGGATTTATTAAAAAGCTTCAAAACCCTGATTTTCTTTCTCTTATTTCCCTCTTTTCTCCATGCATAATAGGTTATTTTTTTGGGAAGGGGTTATTTTGCCCTCAATTCCTTCTCACTACTTGTTGAATCGGTCGACTAGTTTAAAGTAATCAAGCCAACCGATCAACTAATTCAAGCATGACTTTATAGATGAAATTTTTTTTTTGTCTATATTTTATCAACCCCATGGTAATTTTATTCATTATTTTAATTCAAATTAGTTTTTAAAATTTTTGAGGGTTTATAATTTGGTTTAAGTATTTTTTTAAAATTGTGATTAGTCTTTTTAATGATTTTTATAATTTTATAATACTTCAAAATGATTATTATAATTTATCTTCAGTTTTTTTTCTTTAATTTTAGATGAATCCATTGTATTTATATGATGTATTTGTAAGAACAAAATTTATATATACTTAATAACCACAATAAACCTCAAAGATAAATAAAAAAAATGTATAAACTAAAAATAATTATCAAGGTAAAATATTTGAACATGCATGCATTCATCTTTTGATTCTTACTGGAATGATTAACTTTCTGCTTTAAATCTTTAATTTAAATCTTTAAGGAGCATTCATAATAGTTTTTATGATTTATTAGTTTATATATATTTTTATATATTTTATTAAGCATAAATATAATATTTTCATTCATCAGTGAATAAATTTCATGATATTAAAAAATACCTAACACCTTCTTCTAATATGTTAGAAATTAAATAATATTCCTATATTATATATAATGTCTTTATTGAAAAGAGAATAAAAGGAATAGAATGAAAGATGAGTACAGTGATGAAACATGTGCAATCGTTATTTTTTCCCCTAAAAAAACAATTGGTTATGTAGTTTCCTTTTCAAACAGTACCTTGCGTTCCAAATCAGCTAGCCCGAGCTATACCAGAGCTCCCCTGTATCAAAAAAAATCCCGACTCAAAACAGAGGACATGGCATATTGATTTATGCTCTCAGTTTGTATTTCAATAGCAAAAACGTGCTGCCTTTTTTGACGCTTTGAGGCCGCAATAAAGATCTGGGTTTTATTGAGCGGTAGTAAAGTTCTTGACTTGATCCATTTTCAGCTCGATAGGTTAGTTTTTTGGATTTTTTTGTTGATTTGCTCTACTAGTTTTTTTCCCTCATTTATGTTGATTTTTTAGCTTTTTGTTGACCATTCAATATTGGCTGATTTCTGGGCTTGGTTTGTGGGATTCAATTTTTGTCTTTTTAGCTATTGGGAGAGTGCTTTTTTATGTTCTTCTTGAGTATTATAACTAGTTAGTCAGTTTCTTTATTGGTTTCGGTTTTAAAGATTTTTTTTTCCTGGAAGAGTCTGTTATTGTAAAATTGAAGACTTTAAAGCAGACTGGTCTTGCCGGTTACGAAGATTCAAATTAGTGGGAATTTTGAATGGCAAATAATGCATGTATTATATGTTTAGAATGAAACTCAAAGGAATTGACGGGGCGCAAAAGCGGTGGAGCATGTGGTTTAATCCGATACAATTCACATGCTCATTCAGTCACTGGAAAAAATGTGCAAAGTTACTTTGAAATTTAAGCCATTTATATGGAAAAGAAGTCTGCATGCTTCTGGCAGCGCTTTCATGCTGCAACTGAAACCCTGAAAATCTCTGTTGTTGATGATCTTAGCTGTTTCAATGCCCTTGTTGATTATTGTTTGGTTGTTTTTTCTGTTTTGGATATTGGTGTTTATAGTAGAAATGGAAGATTTGTATATATTTACATTACCTAGTGAGAGCATGTGTTATTATGTTGTCTTCAAGATTTTTGTTTCTGCTGTTTTGTTAATAGGATAACGTTATTTCTTCTGTCATCTTGTTGTATCTTACTTTAATTCATAAGATTGAAATGAGATGCTGGGGTTGTGGACATAGTGTTCCAAGTAGTCGTTGGATAGGGAGAGGTTTCACTGAGATTCGAACACCTTGCACATGCCTTATTGTTTTGAACTGTTATTTCATGAAATCTCTTATTGAAGTAATCATTATGCTTTTGAACATGGAGCTGTAGAGAAACCGTGAAACATTTTCAATATATCATCTATTCATATTTCCAAAGATTTCAGTTTCTTTTTCTTACCTTCTCAATAATTCCATGACAGTAAGCCCTTGCCTTTAACTTCAGGGGACCTGACACTATAAGCTGTTGCAGGAGACTGGTGTCCTTTGCTTTTCAATCTCAGTGCCAATGTGGCAACCTAATTTGTAAGGACAGGCAACCAAAGCTGTTTAGTAACCATGGGAGATGGCAATAATAGAAGCAGCAACAACAATGAGAAGCCAGAGTGGCTGCAACAATACAATCTTATTGGCAAGATTGGTGAAGGAACTTATGGTCTTGTGTTCCTTGCAAAAACCAAGTCTCCTGCAAATCGTGGAAAGTCCATTGCCATCAAGAAATTCAAGCAGTCCAAGGATGGTGATGGTGTCTCTCCCACTGCCATCCGTGAAATCATGCTGCTTAGGGAAATTACTCATGAGAATGTCGTGAAGCTTGTGAATGTGCACATTAATCATACTGATATGTCACTGTATCTGGCTTTTGATTATGCTGAACATGACCTTTATGAAATCATCAGGCATCACAGAGACAAGGGTAACAATTTGATCAACCAATACACTGTTAAATCATTGCTCTGGCAGCTACTCAATGGACTGAACTATCTGCACAGTAACTGGATTATACATAGAGATTTAAAGCCATCAAATATCTTAGTTATGGGCGAGGGAGAGGAACATGGGGTTGTCAAAATTGCTGATTTTGGACTTGCAAGGATATATCAAGCTCCCTTGAAGGCATTGTCTGATAATGGTGTTGTGGTAACCATTTGGTATCGTGCACCTGAGTTGCTTCTTGGGGCTAAGCACTACACAAGTGCTATTGACATGTGGGCTGTTGGATGCATTTTTGCTGAACTTCTGACTTTGAAGCCACTATTTCAAGGGGCAGAAGCCAAATCAACATCAAATCCTTTCCAGCTTGATCAACTTGACAAGATATTTAAGGTCCTAGGCCATCCTACACTGGAAAAATGGCCAACACTTGCAAGCCTTCCACATTGGCAGAATGATGTGCACCGTATCCAAGAGCACAAGTATGAGAATACTGGGCTACATAGTGTTGTACCTCTCTCTCCAAAAGGTGCTCCATTTGACCTTCTTTCTAAGATGCTAGAATATGATCCTCAAAAGCGTATAACTGCTGCACAAGCTCTAGAGCACGATTATTTTCGAAGTGAACCTCTCCCTGGACGGAATGCCCTGGTACCCTCTCAACCTGGAGAGAAAGTCATCAATTATCCTACACGTCCAGTAGATACAAATACAGATTTTGAAGGAACGACTAGCCTTCAACCTCCACAGCCAGTGTCATCTGGAAATGCAGTTTCCGGAGGCATACCAGGTACCCATGGAGTTAACAACAGATCTGCACCACGACCAATGCATCCTGGCCTGCAGAGAATGCAAACTCAGGGCATGGCGGCTTATAATCTCGCATCTCAGGCAGGGATGGGTGGTGGAATGAATCCTGGTAACATCACTATGCCACGAGGTGTCGCCCAGCCCCATCAGCAGCATCAACTGAGAAGGAAAGACCCTCCAGGAACGGGGACTGGATACCCTCCTCAACAAAAATCAAGACGCTAATTAGCAAATGGCATCTAGACAGACTGACAATTAATCTTCATTTTTTTTACATCTATGGAGCCCTACCTTGTCGCTGTGGATGAATGATCCTGTTGAGTGCATCCAAGACCACATTGAATTCAAGAAGGTTCTCCACTTGTCATGTACGGGACAATTATTGTAGGCTTTTTCCCGTCGTCTTTGCTTGAGGCAAGTAATAGCTTCATTGCATTCCTCTTCAGGAGATTCTGAGTTTACACGTCCAAGTTGCAAGATAATCTTGGGAGGGGCATGTTCTAAAGGAGAAAGCAGTGGTTGTATTGTAGCGATTGTATTGTGTTGCTTTTAAAGCAGAACACAGAAGTGTAGCGTTGTTCAGTTCAAGACTACTAGCATCTCAGTCTTAAATGTGAAAGCATTTCCACACGCGGTACAAGAGAGGTCATTCCGCTAGTTGATATCAAGATCTTACAAAAAGTCAATTTCTGAAAGCTTTTATTATATTTGCTATTCGTACAAGAAAACTTCTTGTTGATACACATGAAGTAACATGCGTGTGTGTAGACGCGCACAGAGAGAGCCATGTCAGGATAACCATCGTTTCTCTCTCTCAAATACTTGACCGACGGAGCAAAGGCATTTCTTTTCTCAAATGCATATTCTAGATACGTCCATGTAACCCGTTATGGGTTTGATTTGTTCTGGTCATCTACCCGTGATTGACTTCTATTATCTTTTTCCACGTTTACCCTGTTATGTTGATCTGCTTATTTTGCTTCCCACTTGACCAGAAATAAACGAAGTCTGTCTCTTCACGAGCATGAAGAGAAACAGAGAAAGCTTGGGAAGGATTTTTCGAGCACAAAATTACTCCTCTGCAGATAGTTGAGGCCATTAGAGACTTTGATTGTCCATTCCAGCCCATAAGCAGCTCATCTCACTTACTTTCAATGCGAGTAAATGACATCTGTCAATGCCATGACTAATCTTCGGCCATCCTGAGAACCATTAGGCTTTCAGGCAATGTTACTAATTTAAAGCTCTATCCAATTACAATGAAAGCACAATATAACCCCGTGAATTTGCCATCAAAATATGTTGACCCTCTAAGAGTACTAGAACGAGGTTATTGGAATGTATTTTAGATGTTATATAATTCTATCACTTTCTGTAATTGTTGAACAGCTTTCTAAAGGATTCTTCATATTCTATTAATTAGTTTAGTTGGGGAGCATAACTAGCCTAGACCATTCAGCCAGCTTTTAACTAAATTATTTTTACAATGGTGTATATACCATGTTGCTTGGTGACCCTCGAGTATTGGAATACAGATTACATCAAATACTTCTGTATAATTATCAATAGGTTTTCCAACGTGTCTTACTGCGTGTGATATGTTGATAGTTCCATAAAAAAAAATTATGTAAAAAATTATATAAATATTGTTATTGTGTTTTTAAATAAAAAAATATAAATTATATGGAGATTAACTGGATCGACATGATATGACTAAAGATAACATAAACAACGAATAAAAATATAGTTTTATTAAAAAAAAAATCACGATGATGTTATTTTTTAAATATTAAAATAATAACATATTAAATCGGTTTAGATCAACTCTTGTCAAATCCACTATTTAAATCATGATACTTTGATAACCCTATAGAAAACAAATAAAAAAAAAATTAAACCAGATTCTCAATTAACCAAACATTAAATGATGCAATTAAAAACAAAATCCAACTAAAAAAAATGAGTTAAGTCAACCTGAATCAACTTGCTGAACCTAAACCATGAGATTGGGATAACCCTATAGAAAACAAATCGAAAAAAATTATGAAACTCAATTTTTAATCAACTCAATATCAAAGAATGAAATATTAAAAAAAATCAATAAAAAAATGAACACAAAAAATAACCCGAGTCAACTTATTAAACCTGTGACCCAGGTTATGACCATGATAACCTTATAAAACACAAACCAAAACAAATTATGACATCTAATTCTCAATCAACCTAATATTGAATGATAAAATTAAAAAAAAATCAACTAAAAAAGGATAAAAAACTTGAGTTAACTAGTATAACCCATGACCTGGGCCATAAGATTGTAATAATCTCATAGAAAAAAAAAATTATAAAACTTAATTCTCAATCAGCACAATGTTAAAAGATTAAATTGGAAAGAAAATCAATTAAAAAATAACAAAAAAGTTATCCGAGTTAATTTGAGTGAACCTGTCACATTCGGGTCAACAGATTGGGATAACTCTGTAGAAAGCAAATAAAAAAAATATAAAGCTCAATTCCTAACCAACTCAATATTAAATGATGAAATTAAAAAAAAATTAATTAAGATAATAATAAAAAAAACTTGAGTCAACTTAATTAACCTGTAAAATTTACGACCAAGATCATGAGATCGTGATAACTTAATAAAAATTAATTAAAATAAATTTTGAAGTTCAATACCCAGTAAATCTAATGTTAGAGGATAAATTGAAAAAAAAGACCTAAATTTGAAATTTTTTTAAAAAACCCTACAAGATTTCTAGGATCAAAATGGAAAAAAAAATCAAAATATTTTACTGTTTATTACTATAATAAAATATAAAAACTTTTTATTAGATGCTATCTTGTTTTTCACTCAACGTTCAATATTAAAACCACATACATTTAAAAGTTAAAATCATTTAAAAAAATAAAATAAAATAATCAATTTAACCTCCAATAATAACATTTTGACATTAAAATAATATTTAAACAGTAAAAAAAAGCCATGAGTTTTTTTTATTTTTTATTTGAAATTTTCAATTCTTAAAACAGTTAAATTTAATAGGGATTGAATTAAAAATTATCACGAATGAATTTGCTAACTTGTGGCGACGCGTCCAACCTTCCTACCTTGTACGGTGATATTTTTTAAGCATCATTGACTTTCTCCTGATAGGAGCAATCTCCCAGCGAGGTGAGTGTCGAAGACAAATTCAGTTAGGACAATCTTTTTTTTCCTTTCGTTTTCCTATTCTCTCTTCTTCTCAATTTCTGGGTCATTTGAATAAATTGTCTACGTTACCACTTGTAGAATGCATGTAACGCAAGAGCTCGGAGTTCAACTTTTGGCCAGTTATGGAGTTTAGAAATTTAGATTTCGAATAATGAAATTAACCCGTTTATGAGGATAAAAATAAAAAAGACCTTTCAAGGAGATACGGAGCACAAAATCCACCGCCATTCGCTCGCCAAGGAATTTAGACTCCATCTCGTGGATAGATTCCTTGGGCGGTAGTCATCATTTTCCCAAAATTAAAGCATCTTGTTGTTGACGACAATAGATAATGGTGCTTTATTTGAAGAGAAATAAAAAAACTCATGATGGGGGAAACTGCAAAGTTTGGTGGTCGTGTATTTGATATATATTGTACAACAAAATATTAATTACATATGTTTAAGAGAAGAATTATCATTTTATCTTAAATTTATGGGAGAGTTTCCCTTCCTTTAATCCAACATGAGACCACAGACAAAAGACTTTTCAAGAGGGACAAGGGATTTAATCCTGTTTTATACTCGGTTTTTTTTTTAAAAATGCATTGATGGGGAATTGAGAATGTGTTCCACTTTCATGTACTTTTTTTTCCTTATTTATTTCCCTCAGACACTCCAAATTAAGGGCTTGTTCAATATTGCCATCGTCTCCAGACCAGAAAAATGTGCAAACAGACAGACGCAAGTGGGAGTGGTGGGCTCAATATGTGCCCACTGAGGATTTGTTGTCATTTACACACACAGAAACGCATCAATACCGCACAATGCCTTTTGTCTTCTTTTTCTCTCCCTTCTGCAACGCCAAGGAGCTCGATGGATACGATCATCATTCCTGATGATTAAGTTCAGGCAAATATGAACCCGCCTCTCTTTGACCAATTAGATGCCGTAAATGTGCTGGCTTTATGGACCTTCATGATTGCTACTTATGAATGATAATGCCTTAATGATCTTCTTTATAATTAATTAAGGTTTAACTTTCTCGGCTGAGATTATCAGTGGAGGGACGAGGTGGGCCCCACAGGGCCGGGCCAGTAAACACCTTGCTCGTGTCACCTCATGTAGAAAAAACATGGGTGGCAATCTCGAAACGCCCCATGCAGAATTGATTGGGTGTAGAAACCCCCACGTGGAAACTTGAAGAACCTTCTCTGCAAGAACCAAACGTAACCCCATAATACTTCTCTACACATTATCGAAGGCCAACAGCCATACAGCCGTGCAGCCGTGCAGAATCAAATTTCGAAAGGGGGTACGTTTACGCTCAGTGATTGAGATGTTTTTCAAGCTCTTTGAGTGTTGGGACTCGGCTGGCTCCCCCGTGAATTTTAAAATTATATATATATATATAAATTGATTTTAATGTATTAATATAAAAAATAATTTTAAAAAAATAAAAAATATATTATTTTAATATAATTACAATTAAAAAACACATTAAACCCGATTAGTATCTCATTCTGAAACACCAAAATGTATCCCATTCCTAAAGATATATGGGAAAGCAAGAACTTAAGAGAGAAGAAAGAAATCAATCCATGAATGGATGATAGGGGAGGAAGAGGAAAAGGAAAAAAAAAAAAAAAAAACTCGAGAGATATTAATTAGATACGCATCTAGCCTGTCTGCTTAGCTCCTACCCAACATTTGAAGCTCTGAGGCTTCCAAGGCTGGAACTTGATAAGAACGTTAAGGGCGGCCCCATCATATCCATGCAACTCGTTTCCATCGACTCTCTCCAAATAAACAGCTTGCTATAAATTTGGTTCTGGACTTCTTATTGCTCTACTCAAAAACTTCGGAACACCCAACATATTTTTGTAATATTTTTCTTGTTTTTGCTATAGAAAGGTATTTATTTTTCTTGCAAAATACGTAATAATAACTCCCTTCATATTATTTATAAAACTAATTAGAAAATACACAACAACAAAAAAAACTAATTTTGTCCTAAATTAGTAGCACGTTATCTTTAATTTATGTTTCTTAAAAAACATTTCTTGAAAAAATGGAAGACTTTGCACAAGTAAACACAACCTTAAATACTCATAAAAAAATGTTTTAAGTTTTACATAAATGAAGGGAGATAAAGTAAAAAAAATATATATGAACTACTCATGTAACCCATGTTATCCAGAGTGGGGAACAAATTTTTTTTAGCAAAAAAAAGGTTGTGTTCTTAATTTATTTTGAAAAAAATCACATAACTTTACACAAGTAAACACAACCTTATATACTCATATTTTTTTAATATTTTTTAAAATGATAATTATAATTCGAGAAGCTAAGGTATATTTAATTAAATCAACTGAAAATCACCAATAAACAAAAAATATTAGAGTTCTAATTTAATCTATGGGCAACACTCACATTGATGAAATTATATAAAATAATAAGATAGTTGTCTAGTAAAAATGAAATATAGATAAGTTTGATATCAAAAGTGAAGATTTTAATTTAATATAAATATTATTTTTACTGTTTATCTTTTACCATAAAATAATTATTTTATCTTAAAAAAAAAATTAATTTATAAAAAAATCATAAAATATAAAATTATGCCTACCATGTTCAAAATACAATAAAATTCAACATCATTTCAATTAATTAAATTAGTGACTATTTGAAAGTGTAATTATAGTTGTTTTTTAAAGTATTTTTATGTTGAAATATATC